ACTCGCATTTTGAAATATTTTATATGAATTAAACCGGATTTTTCTCAATATCGCAAAAATTAGAATCGCATTTAAGTCTAAAATGACAAAATCGCAATAATAAATGCACGCATTAATTTCTGAATTTACAGTAACACTTTTAGATATTAAGATGATAAATTGGCTCTCAATAATGACGACTTCAGTATGTACACTAAAGAGATTTATCCTACCGAACTGACTTTAAATAAAGCTAATACTAACAATGAACACTGCCCTTTCCTGGATCTTGATATCTTTATCTTTAACGGGAAGCTTAATACCAAAATTTATGATAAAAGAGATGATTTTTCATTTCCTATTGTTAATTATCCATTTTTAGATGGTGACGTTCCCTTGTCGCCATCTTATGGTGTTTATATATCTTAACTTGTTCGATTCGCTCGTGTATGTAACAACGTATTTGATTTCACCGAAAGAAATCTCTGTATTACTGAAAAATTATTACACCAGGGTTTTCGATATCACAAACTAGTCAAAACATTTACTAACTTTTATCATCGGTACAAGGACATCATTCGTAAATATAAATCAACATGCAGACATCTTATACGTTCAGGTATTTCACATCCAATATTTTATGGTAATATTCTTTACAAAGCACAAAAATGTCGGCATTCATCTCAAAAGCTAACCAAATCTTTAATGCATTTAATATCAAAAGTTTATATCAGCATATTTTTATACATTTGTAGTTTGTTTTTATGTTGTACTGTTACACCACTGTCTCAGGTTATGGGAGGGTTGGCGCCTTCAAATATGTTTAACCCGCCACATGCTATATATATTTGCCTGTCCCAAGTTAGGAGCCTGTAGTTCAGTAGTTGTCGTTGGTTCATGTCTGTCATATTTGTTTTTTCGTAAATTGTTTTGTTATGAATTATGCCGTTAGTTTTCTCAATTGAATTGATTCATATTTTTCATGTAGGTGCGTTTTATAGACGACTATACGGTATGAGTTTTTATACGACCGCAACACAATTCTTGGTGAGGTCGTATAATGGTATGACGTTGTTGTCGTCGTCGTCCCAAAGACATGTCGTTCCCAAACGACAACTTGGGTATATGTGTATGGATCTCTATGAAATTGTACTACAAGGTTCCATACCCCAAAAGGAAGGTTGGGATTGATTTTGGGGGTTATTGTCCTAACTGTTTACAATTTAGGGGCCAAAAAGAAGCATTTTTCTTGTTTCAGGACAATAACTTGTGTTTATGTGTATGGATCTCTATGAAATTGTACCAAAGGTTGGGACTTATTTTGGTTTTGTTTGTCCCAAACCGTTTAGGAATAAGGAGCCAAGGATTTTCTGGTTTCCGGACAATTACTTGAGTATAAGTCTATGGATCTTTATGAAATCGTACCACAAGGTTCCATACCTCAAAAGGAAGGTTGGCATTGATTTTGGGGGTAATGGCCCTAACCATTTAGGAAAAAGGGGCCAACAACAATACTTGTCTATTACTTTGATTACCTTCAGTCATAGAAAGTAACGTGAGTTTGTTACTTTAGATAATTCAAAAATCCCATGCCTTCTTTATGCAGACGATTGGTTTTACTTTCAAACTATAAACAAGGATTACAAGACCAACTAACAATTTTATCTAAATACTATATCAAGCTGAGCCCTGTGGAGCATTATATTCTCATTGTTAACGGCCGTACGGTTGCCTATGATTGCTTGCATCCAACTGTGGTGGATAGTTGTCTCATTGGCAATCATACCACATCTCCTTAATTTTATATTTATACATGTACAGCAAATTACCTATTAGCAGTTACACAGTGTGCTAGTGACCTAATACAATATATACGGAGTCAGTAAATTCCATATGGGACGAGAGCGAGCAAAGTTCAAGCCCCATATGGAATTTACTGACCCAGTATATATCGTATAGGTCCCCTGTGCGACGCGTTGCGGGGGACATAAAAACACCAGGCGTCCGTCCTTCCGGTCTTTTTAGCGTACTGGCATATGAATATTTCTTGTCAGATTTTTATAAATTTATATCAAAGGTTTATATCAGTAATGTCTTGGACAAGTACTAAAATCAGTGCCGATCAATTAATTTTTATAGAGTTATGCCCCTTGGAAATATGAATTATATGGAAAATTGTAATATTGTAACCCCTCTCACGCATACAATTCTAGCCAGAGTTTTTTTTAGAATCGATATCAAAAGTTTATATCAGCAATGTCTTGGACAAGTTCGAAATTCAATGCTGATCAATAATTTTCAAATGAGTTATGCCCCTTGGAAATATATTATGTATTTTAATTAATTTATAATTTATATATTAATTATATGGTAAATTGCATTGCAAGCGCTCTCAAGCCTACATTTCTTTATTGGTATAAAATTTATATCGAAGGTTTATATCAGCAATGTCTGAGACTAGTTCAAAAATCAACGCTGTTCAATTATTAGTCCCCTACCGACGAAGTCGAAGGGGACTTTAGGTTTGCACTCCATCTGTCTGTCCGTCTGTCCGTCTGTCTGTCTGTCCATCCGTCAGTCCGGCAAATCAGCTTTCCACACTTTTTTTCTTCGTTCTTGAAGATAGTGATTTGATATTTGGTATATAGTTTTATCATGACAATTTATTGATCAAGTTCGAATTTTGTTCCGGTCTGATGATTTAGTCCAGAGCCCATAACTCTGGACCATATCTAATGTTAGAGTACTATGTTAAACCATATTTCTGTACAAAGGGAGATAACTCATTTTTTAAAAGACATTCTTTGTTTAATTATTTGAAGAATTTTTGGCAGGTTTGTTTGTTAATTAGTATAAACTAATTTTCTGAATGCTATATATATAAAAAAAAATTATGAAGAAAAATCCTTTAATTAGATAATAATCTATTTTTATTAATGTATATATTTCAATACATTACATTGTGTAGATAAAAGTTGTTGACATTTTATAGATAAGTTACAAATCTATATTAGTTTGTGACAAATGAAAGAAAAAATATTTGGAACTATTAATTATATTTGATTATAATTTGAAAATAGATATACTGTATTACATCATATCTAATTTTAGAGAACTATTAATCATATCTAATGTTTTTTTCATCATGCTTATAAGATATTGATTGATAATTGGTATATAGTTTTATCATGACAAAATAAAGATCAAGTTAAAATTTTTGTTTCGATCTAATAATTTTGTGCAGAGTTATGGTCCTTGTTTTTTTCAGGAGTTATGTCCCTTAGAAATGTAAATTCTTATAAAACATTGCATTGTGAGCGCTCTCAAATGTACAATTCTTGTCAGATATTTATGAAATTTATATCAAATGTTTGTCAGCAATGTCTCGGAAAAGTTATAAAATCAGTGACGATTAGCTATTCTAAAAAGAGTGTTTTCCCTTGGAAAATATTAATTAAATGGAAAATTGCATTGTAAGCGCTCTGAAGTCTACTTTTCTCTAAGATATTTATAAACAGTTTAAAAAAAAAAACGAAAAAAATTTTAATTAGTGCCGTTGGACAAATGCAATATGTGCAACGCTGGGGACATTGGAACTCTCTTCTTTTATGTGTTTATGATTATGGTATCTTTTTAGTTTTTTTTTCAAGTATGAGGCAACTGAATTTTGTATATAGAATCATTGTGTGTGCATATCCGTAGACAAGTTTCATTTTCCACTGAAGGTAAAATGAACATTAATTTTTCAAGATTAAGTATGTTGTTCTGTTTCTATAAGTAGCAGTTTAACTATCGCGACATAAATTATTCCATGACTACAGAGACGCTGATGTTGACATTATATTTTATTTTATTTTATTTTATTTGATCAGTTTCTTGTTTCTAAAAGTAAAAATGAACTATAATTATTTGATATATCGAATTTTGTAGATCACAGCACATTGAAATAAAGCAGAAACGGCAACACAATCTTTTATTTTTGTAATGCTATATATATATTTCTCTAATTCTTCGTCAATTTATCCCTTTCTGCACCCATTGTATAAAAAAAAATTTAATCAACGTGTGGTTCGTTTGATCTCAGTTCTTCATTGGTTAAAATCTGATTATGACGTCGAATTTTCTTGCTTTCCTCTGAATTTCCTATTGTGACGGCATGAAAAAAGGCGACCATGCCTGATGACGTCACATAGAAAGAACACATCTTTTTGCAGATCATTCAAAAAGAAGGAATAAGTTTGCCTGCATATAGTTTGAAAATCATTAGAGAAACAGATTCCACCACCAAATCTCGTGTAATACGATATTTATCCACTCTCGACAGTTAAATTTTAAATATTTAAAACGCTCGGCGAGCCTCGCGTTTTAAATTTGAAAATTTAACTGTCTCGAGTGGATAAATATCGTATCACACTCGATGCAGTGGTAGAATCTATATTTCTCGAATTCTTATCCGATTTATCATTTTCCTGACCTGTTGATTATTTTTATTTAATCAACGTGTGATTCGTTTGATCTCAGTTCTTCATTGGTCAAAATTCGATTATGACGTCAAATGTTCTTGCTTCTTTCTGAATTTCCTATTGTGACGTCATGAAAAAAGGCGACCATGCCTGATGACGTCACATAGAAAGAACACATCTTTTTGCAGATCATTCGTAAAGAAGGATTACGATTGTCTGTATATCGTATAAAAATCATTAGAGAAACAGATTCCACCACCAAATCTCGTGTAATACGATATTTATCCACTCTCGACAGTTAAATTTTAAATATTTAAAACGCTCGGCCAGCCTCGCGTTTTAAATTTGAAAATATAACTATCTCCAGTGGATAAATATCGAATCACACTTGATGCATTGGTAGAATCTATCTCTCTCTATATATATATGTATATATGAATATGTCTCTTTTATTATCACAACGATAATTCATAATTAAGAGAATATACATCAAATATTGAATCTTAGTTTTTATCTATGATGAGTTTATTATATTGAAGTTTTCCTTATTTTTATTAGATTGCAGCGAATTGGAAAACAGCAGACATTACAGACCGACAACGTGCTATTCTAGAATTTGCTGATCAGCTTTGTCATTGCAAACCGTTGACCGACGATAATTTTGAAAAATTGTACGAATTTGGTTTAACGAAAGATGATGCTTGGGACATTGGTTCGGTCGTTGCACTATTTGCCTTGTCAAATCGAATGGCATTTCTAACTAATATGAAACCGAACGAGGAGTTTCACCTAATGGGCAGGATAAAGCGTGAACAAAATAAAACTTAAAATTAAGAATTTGTTTTTTTTTACTTACGAATATATACTTACAAATATTTGTAACTCAAATACATTTGTACTTGAATACACTATTGTTAATTTCTATTAAACTGAAGTTACATATCTAACGATGGTTGTTTTCAATTATTCCGAAGGTACGTCATACCGTTTCATTCTATCCTACCTATTTAATAGCTATTAAATACTTTAGTTTCGAAAATTTCCACACATTCATATATGAATTATTTCTATTCTAACAGGACAATGACAGCAATTCTTTTGGATCGAAGCGCTCTATGTGAGGGGAAATGTTTGCTGTTCCCGCAATTGAACACACTTAATATTGACGTAAACGACAAAGAAAATTGAATAAGTGACATTATTATACCTCAGTTATCATTTTCTATATAAAATAAGTACCCATATTATTACTATTTTTCAAACTGCAATCGTTGAACTATTTGACCGTCAATAGTTTCCAACTATTTGCCCTCGATGAAACTATTTGACCGCTAGCGTCATAATATTTCGCGGAATTTCAACTGCAGCTACGGGATTGGCTAACGGGTTTTTAACAATTTATTCGGGACTATCGGAATTCATCTCAATTATTAAAGTCGATTCCCGAGTCGTTCGAACATACATATTTGAAAAAAAAAATGAAGCTTTAAACTTGCCTGCTTGTTATTGGAATGAATATTTACAATCGGATAATTGTCATCACTATGTGTCCGTTGTCTCTTACAAATGTAAAAATGAATTTTGGTCAGCTGTGTCGTTCAGTCCTTGGCATAACTTTGTGTCTGGTGTCTCTTTCGGTATAATAAAACATTTACTGACTGGATGTTCGTGGAATTGTAAGTTTATTGTCCCCTCGGATACAACTATAGCCCTCGACTACCCCTCAGGGCAATAGTTGCTCTTTGGATGACAATAAACTTACTATTCCACTCATTCCCAGTCGATAAGTATAAATTCTTAAACGATATACAATAACATAATTAGACAGATTTGGATGAATTTAATTGACTATCTTACTTTCGTTTAAGAAGTTATGGACATCATACAAACTATTACCATCGTTTGTTTTGACGACTTTCAGTTTCTCATTCGTGCATTTTCTCGTAAAATCCTCACATTCTTACGTCATCGTTCAATGACGTCATTTACATCATTTGACGTGAGGTAAATCATTCATAAAAAGCATACGACGTGGGAGTAGGATTGGAACAGCCAAACAAATATTGACGTTGCCTATCAGCTGACATATGAATATATTAGAATTTTACCATGGGTGTGTACTCAATGCGTTTGAAGAACGTCATATTATAATATCCTTCAAACTTGACGTACTTCGTCCTTTATATATATTGCATTCGTAGACTACGATATATAATTCCGTTAATAGAAATATACCTGAGGAAAATAGAATTGACCGAAGAAAAGTAATCTGAAATTTCTTGATAACCTAGACTAAGTGATCGTTTATTCCAAACACGAACAGACACGAAAGGGGTCTTTAGCTCACCGGTCGATATAATATTTTCAAACGTACTTCTATGAAACAATTTCAACTGAACTACCCCTGAATGATATTGAGTGTGTCTAGCATAAGTAAAATGTGTTTTACCCTGCCAACCAAGTGACAAGAAAAGCTCATTTGGCCCTTTGGGCTAAGGGAGCTAAAATATACTATTTTGGAGAAGACTACTTATTACTACTTAATTTTGATCACTTTATTATGAATGAAATAGTGGTATGCGATGTTTGAATTAAAGAAATTATAATCAAAGCATCGTAGATGCTGTAATCCAGATCTATGGTGTAAACTATTACATTAAATTGTTTCTTAAAAATGTTTAATTCGAAGCATCAGTTGTTGGAAGACATCCTTTCGAGTACAGAAAGAGACATACATGCGACTTAGTTAAAATGTCTCTTGCTTTTATAGCTTTTATTGTAGCTGAATTTTGTTATATAAATGAAGCATACACAACAGTTAAGTACTAGTACACTTACTTTTGTGCATTGTTGTCTCATTTATAATCATACCACACCTAATTTTAATGAAGAAATGTCAACTGTTCTTCCTTTTCGGTAACTGAGATTAAATTATATCCCTTAAGGTGGTCCCAAATTAATTTTGACATTTATCTGATCTCATTTTCAATACTATTTTTATTATGCCAACTCCTGTAAAAAACGGATAACAAAATTTAGAAAAGTGACCACAAAAAGGGGAGATACCTTAAAATACCAGGAGAAGAAAGATTATGCAAAAACTGCCAAAAAATTGAAGATGAAATTCATTTCATTATATATTGACTATGTGATAACAGTAATATTAGAAAAGTTTGTTTTGATAAATGAGAACACATAATTTATAGTTTTAAATAATATAGATATTACATATATCCTCAGCCCATGACAAGAGTCACACATAGATAAGCTTGGTTCCTTTTTAAAACAGTCTATAGAACCGAGGACAGGGGAATCTTGAAATATTTACATATTTATATATAAATGATCTTGTTGATATTATTTGCTTTCATTTTGTTATGTTGTGTCACATGCAATGTAATGACAATAAAGTTTTGAATGGAATGGCATTGTAAAACAATTGAAGACATCCAACAAAATTTGGGATAAGTGTTTTGACTAAAAATGTAAATGTGTGTTCGGACACGATCTTTATTATAAAAGATACCAAGCCAACCAAAAATCATTAGTCCAATAAAAACATACAACACAAGTGTTGTAACGTAGATATTCAATAGTATGAACTTGAATAGTATGAATTTGAAGTCATTTTCATCATAATTTCACTAAAATTTTACTAGATTTATTTTCATTTTTAAAAACCCCCTTTGTAGCACTCAAAATTCTGAGAGAAAAATATAGTCTTCTGAGGTATGTTCGACAATCATAGTGATCACAATTATCGATGGTAAGATTACAAGAGTTGTGTGCACAAATTCGTATCATATTCTCAGGTATAGTGGTGGACAAAAAAGAATCCGAATTTAACACTATTGCATTTACTTTAATTTGGTTGTTGTTTTTTAATTCAGCTTTAAAATTTTGCCAAAGCTGGATGGTAACTGCATAACAATTTCTTTTTATGAAACTATATTTCGAAATAGCTGGAAGCCCGTAACTGATCAATTTTTATTTCGAAGGTCAAGAACTTGAAAACGTCAACTCATATATATATATATATATCTTGGCATGCTTTTACATTTCAATGGTAAACTTGTTTAAACTCAAAAAAGAATGGCACAACAAGAAGCTAGAGCACTTTCATCTTTAATTAACTCAATGAAAAGAGTATTCATTGGACCAGGTCAAAAGTGATTTTTATTCAAAATAAAAATAAGAAGATGTAGTATGATTGCCAATAAGACAACTCTCCACAAGAGACCAAATAACAAGGAAATTAACAACTATAGGTCACCGTACGGCCTTCAACAAAAAGGAAAACCCATACCGCATAGTCAGCTTTAAAAGGCCCCGAAATGACAAATGTAAAACAATTCAAACGAGAAAACTAACGGCCTGATTTATGTACAAAATAATGAACGAAAAACAAATATGATATACAGAAACAAACGACAACCACCGAATTACAGACTCCTGACTTGAGACAGGCACATACAGAATGTGGTAGGGTTAAACTAGTTTGAAGGCGCGCCAACCCTCCAACTAACCTGGGACAGTGGTGTAACAGTACAAAATAAGAACAAACTACAACAAGAGTGAACACGCTGAAATGTCTCGCCTTCTTTACTAACCATTGATATTATGATGAGAGTCCTAAATATAAAGCGTTACTACAGCTATCATAATAATTTAACATGATCCAAGAAAATGAGGTCAAGGTCAGATAAACCAAACTGGAAATACATGTACACCTTACAATCATTCCATACACCAAATATAGTTGACCAATTGCTTATAGTTTCTAAGAAATAAACTTAATCAGGAAAACTTAACATTGACCAATGAACCATGAAAATGAGGTCATGGTCAGATGATAATTGCCAGACAGACATATACACCTTACAATCATTCCATACACCAAATATAGTTGACCTGTTGCTAATAGTATTAGAAAAACAGACCAAAAAGCAAAAATTAACATTGAGCAATGAACCGTAAAAATAAGGTCAAGGTCAAATAAAACATGCCAGACTCACATGTACATCGTAAAATATTTTCATACACCAAATATAGTTGACCTATTGCATACAGTATAAGAACAACAGACCAAAACACAAAAACTTAACTTTAACCACTGAACCATGAAAATGAGGTCAAGGTCAGATGACACCTGCCAGATTGACATGTACACCTTACAATCATTCCATACACCAAATATAGTAAACATATTGCATACAGTATTACAAAAACAGACCAAAACACAAAAACTTAACTATAACCACTGAACCATGAAAATGAGGTCAAGGTCAGATGACACCTGCCAGTTGGACATGTACACCTTACAATCATTCCATAAACCAAATATAAGAGACCTATTGCTTATAGTATCTAAGATATGGACTTAACCACGAAATCTTAATTTTGTTCACTGATCCATGAAATGAGGTCGAGGTCAAGTGAAAACTGTCTGACGGGCATGAGGACCTTGCAAGGTACGCACATACCAAATATAGTTATCCTATTACTCATAATAAGAGAGAAATTAAAAATACATAAAATATTAACTTTTTTTCACTGAACCATGAAAATGAGGTCAAGGACAATGGACATATGACAGACGGAAACTTCATAACATAAGGCATCTATATACAAAGTATGAAGGATCCAGGTCTTCTACCTTCTGAAATATTAAGTTTTTAAGAGGTTAGCTAACGCCGCCGCCGCCGCCGGATCACTATCCCTATGTCGAGCTTTCTGCGACCGAAGTCGCAGGCTCGACAAAAATCAGTTGAAAATTGCTAAACTCATCAGGTCGATACAAAGCAGAAATACACCTAACAAAAACACAGAGTGGACGTGGCATGGTACTTATACATCCCCACAACAAAAAGACACTAAGTACAGATCTTAGAGTACTCGCAGTTACTGACAGCTAGTTCAAAGCCAATAACAACTAATAAAAAAAAAT